TGAAGACTAAATTTCACAAGCGTGTTTACAGTGTACTAAATGCTTGATACCAATATACAAGACATTGACATAATCAGGATTTTATGTACTTTCACTAGCATAAGTCAACTTTTGGTGATGTGTTCAACCTTCATTGTTTTATGTGATGAACACCAAGAAATTTTCCTCCTTTTCTTTCCCCCCCTCTAGTTTCTGGTTCCTTTACCTGTTAACCAGTGTTAACTAGTTCACAAGCTCTCAATTCTAAACACAAGTAGCTCCTATGCTTTTTTAATAGCAAAAAATCATAATTATTAGGAAGCTACTGGTAGAAAATCCACTAATCTAATCAAGCTGGGCCTATTTTAAGTGTGTTGCAAGCCTGATCCAGATTTGTGCCTATTTTATTAATAGAAATAAAACCAAATAAATAAGACAAAAAAACAAAGTAGGTTATAACTCAAAGTATAACCCAAAGCCTCCATTACAGCTGTTGTTTTTGAAGCCCAAAAGAACTGGAGGAAGCAAAACTATGATGAGACAGCTTCTTTCTTGGTTAGTGTAGTAACATGACAAAGCAAGTCCTCAAAGCTGCTCCAAGATGGCAAACAGGTTGGAAGCCAGAGCAGTAACCATTTCAATTTTCCAAAGCTGCAACATCTGAACTCAGTATAGTGAAGGCCTACTCCTTATAGGCCCTGAAGGAGGAATTTGCTGAGTATTGTTTTTCATTGTGAGTGCAGGTCGGGCTGACAGGTATTAAGATGTGGCATTAATAAATTGAATAGTATCTGATCCAGAAAATAGAGAAGGTTCATTTGACTTACTACAAGTATAGGATAAAAGGACAGTGCTTTGCCAAGGCTATTACTGTCAATATAAACTACAGGGAAGTTTAGGCACATTGTCTACATAGTGCAATTACTAAAGTAGACAAATACTTTACATGAAGAATTTAACAAATGGCTCTTGCTTCAAGGGTGGGGAATTACTAAGGGAACCCCTATTTGCATCCTGGAAGTTAAATTTGTAAATGGGCTTGAAGTAAGTGCATACCATCAGCTGCCTTTGAAGCGCATTCAACCTGTTACCAGTGTAGCAAGTGCTGCAAAGAATGGCCATCCAGGGTCAAGAAACCCATTTAGCTTAGTAAATGAGTGCAAGGCAGGACCTTTGTAACTTCTCCTGAAAACAGCTTCCAGCAATCCATAGTTGTATTACTTCCTGTCTCAGGAGTTGCATCTGAACCTTTGCGTGTAACAGCCACATGGTCATGAAACTATCCATTCCCCTTTTGAACCTATTTATCCTTTTGTCCTCTACATCTTGCTACCCATGTTCCCCAACACAAGAAGCACATCAGGTTTGTAAGTCACAGATAGCAGCACTTCACGCGCCCTTATAGTTTGCATCTCTGAGCTTAGAAACCTCTTTCTATGCTACTTGACATAGCTGTGGAATTAGCTTGTACTCATGCTGTTCTGTCCTTCACGCAAGAAAAGCTCCTCAAACATCAGCTCCATCTTCCCAGCCACCTGGGCTACTGTATTCATTAGAAACTTATTTCTGAAATATCTTCTAGTACAGCACCTCATCTAAGAAACTAAATGTTTTATGAAAAGAGGATGTTTTTCAGTCTGCAAAACCAGACATGGTTATTTCATAGATTAATTCTCTTCAGTATATCTCCCCCAGCTGAAAAGAACACAACACAAGTTATGAAAGTTAGTCAGATGTTTATTCAGCATAACTAACAGTTTGGCAAGTTAGCGCTTTCCACCAACACGGGGAGCAGAAACCTTGACTGGTTTCACAATCTTCTGCTTAGGTGCTGCCTTTGTAGGAGCCTGTAGAGAAATAATAAAGTATGAGCGAAGAGATGCAATTTATCTGCAGTGCTGAAAGGGTCCCTGTGTATTTAAGATTCTTGACAGAGATTAGGCAATTTAAATCAGATCAGATTAGAATTCCAATCTGTCAGATTGGAATCATGTTAACAGACTGTTACACACATACCACTGTAAGCCTACAACATGCATGATGCCAACATATGGTATTAATTCATAAGTAATAATGAAACAAATGCTAGCATTCACCAATATATTGTTACCAAGTTCCTAGATAGTGAAGATGTCACATCCAGACAAGTTTTTAGCTACCGAGAATCTCTGACATATGGTCAGAAAGTTGTTTTACTGTAATATTTATTTATTCCATAAAAACGATTCACTCTATTCAGATGTTTGGGTACGTCTAACTTTAGTACAAAAGTTTGGTCAAAGTGCTTCCAGATCGGAAAAGATAAGCAAATGCTTCTTCCAAACACAAATGGAAATTTCCAATTAAGCACTGCAACAGAATGTTGTGTTCCAACATGGTATATTCCGTTTCACTATTTCTGTCCACCCATTGCATCTTACCTTTGCAGCAGAAACGGCTGTTTTCTTGGTTGCCTGCTTAGCCTTCTTGGCTTCTTTTGCAGCCCTGTTAATTCACAGAACAAGTATAACAGTCATCCATGTCTGCCACTCAGTGTTGCTTTGTCTCACCACTTTAAGACCTTCCTAAGATCAGGAATAGAATGCATTTTTTCAGGTTTATCCTCTATATTCCGTACCCACTAGGAAAACTACTACAGAGACAAGCAGAATTGTGTGTGACAAAAGTGTGTGTTCTTTTCACAAAGGGAGAGGGAAAGAAGAAACCCTTCTCTGCTGATACTAACTCTTGATGAGATTACTCAGTATTACCTCCAAATATACTGATTAAAAAAAAAAAAAAAACACATGGAGCTCATCTAGAGTTTAAGCTCTTGTATGAAAAGTATTAATAAAGTTTGAAAAGCCTGGAATAGCTCCATTTATCTCTGATCTCTCACCTAATAGCTTGTTCCCTCTGCGCCTTTCGTACTTCAGGCTTCTGATTTCGCTTAGCCATAATCTCAGCTAAAGATGCACCAGTGATAGCCCTCTGAAACTTAACAGCACGGCGTGTGCGCTTCTTTTGTATCTCTTCCTAAAATGGAAGAAGATGAAGACAGACAATTAGTATCACAAGACATTAAAAAAAAGGCTAAAGACAATTACAGAAACAACCTGCTATTAAGACTGAAGCTATTATAAAACCATATACAGAAGTAGAATTCTACTCCTCACTTTGGAGAAAACCAATGTCTTGATTTTCCAAAGCAGATTAACAAAGAACAATGTATTCTCCTTTGCAAGTTATAAAAAAAAATATTTTGGAAGATCTCAGAAGTTCAGCATTCTGCGATTCTAATTCCCAGAAAAAAAAAAAACGGCGAAGGGATAAAGTCCAGTTTGATGGAATCTTCTGAAAGGAAGACACTTCTCATGTGCTTCAAGTGGGATCGCGGTGCTGGGCAGCAGTGTGAGCCATCAAGCATTAACTTGCCTTCTCCAAACAAAGCGGTAAAAACTTTGACTTATAAAACAAATGTAAGCCTTTCTAAATGCTCTTTTGCTGTGCAACGTTAAACAAGATCATGCGACATGCCTTATTAATTTATCTTTTTCATGCAATGACAACTACATAGGGAAGACCTTCTACTAAGTTACAGCCCAAAGTTTCACACCCTCTAACCACCAATCAGCTCTCTATGCTATCACCATTCAGGAACTTTACGAGTCCAAACTTTTAGAAAGTCTGCATTAAAAATTAATGCATTAAATGAATTAATTAATTAATGCATTAAACAGCTTTACTCACCTTCTCTAAAAGTATTTTTTAAAACATATGCCGTTCATATAGTTGTTAAAATCTACTGTGGATCTGAGTAGTCCCTCAAAGAAGTGATACAAATACAATCCTTTTCCTGAACTAGTTACCTTTCAAACATAAAGAAGCATATAAACTTATGTAAATGCACTCACATTTTCACCATTATTGGCCAGGCTTCATGCTGGTTACATGGGTCACACTTCTGTTGAACACCAGCATACTGAAGTTACCTCTATTCTAACATACCGGTGACTACATCTTTTGGTAGAAAACTTCAAGGCATCATTAGTTGGCATATACTTACTGACTGTCCTTTCTTGTGTTTACGCCTGTACAGAACAGTCCAGTTGATTTGACGGGGGTTTCTCTTGGAAAGGAATGCAGACTCACATTTTGCATTCAAGAACTGAAAAACCTGGGAAGGTAAAGTATTCTGTGTAAGCTTTGTTTCTACGAAAGCCATTATCACAGTTTGCACTAACATATCAATTAATTCTTCGATTCAGTGTTTTTCAACAGTGATACTTTTGTATTTCTTTACATATTTCTGACAATTAAAAATTTTAGAAGGTAATTTGAAGTTTGGAATTTTGTTCCATTGATCAAACTGATATCTTACAGGGCATTCTGAAGCAGCTTAATTTTTCTGAAGAAAGCTCAAATTACCACTTGCATCCAGCTGCTGCACTGTATTCAAGGCACAGCATGAATAGCCATATCCAGCATCATACTTTTAAAGTATCTGTCCTCAAGTAATTATGCGCTTCCTTTATGTGTAAGCGAGCCAAAACTTGGCTTAAGGAACACAGGGAGACCAGTACTCCGCCCAATCCCTTCTTGCATAGTTACACCAACGTTCTTACCTAGAATAACAACCAGAATTTGGAAGTCAATTAGTTATTAGCTATATAATTCAATTTAAAGTACAAACTAATTCTCAGGAGAGCATCTGAGAATTCAGTCAGTCTGTTTACTTAGCTGTCATTCCCAGGAGATTCTGTACAGCAATACTGGGATATCGAAAACCCAAACGCCCCTTTTGCAGATATCAATAGCATATTTCTGACAGTCCCATCTGTATGAAATAAGAGAGCCTGAAAGGGCTCTCCTTCCTATTTTATCCCAATGATCTGTAGCCAACTCATTTGTAAGTCCAGCTGTTTGCTTCAGAAAACCTCAGCATTAGATGTAGTATGTCCAAATAACATTTTCTACAGAACTTTGGTACTTATGACAACCTTCCCAAACCACAACCTAAAACCGGACTCAAAACCCCTAGCTCCAGCACAAGCACAGCTCCCCCCGCGGACCAGATCTGACAGCAGTCACGACATCTAGACACCGATGGATACACAGCGATGCTACTGTCATACCGTTCAAGAGGAGCGATTGAGACAGACGCTACAGCAACGCCACCGGAGACCCGGGCAACACCGAGCTCTCCACTTCGCGCCCAGTGCGAGGCCTTCGCTTCCCCTAACAACCTAGGCCTCAT